GCAAATTCAAACCATTTTTGCAAAAAAACATAAGTTGAGTTGTTCCAAGTTGAGCAAACTAGTCTATACTTGATTGTGCGCATCACGTTGTAAAGCTAGCTTAATAACCAGAACAAGAGCACATAATATTTATAAAAAAAATCATATCATGATTAGTAGAGGCCGATCTTTGATCGGGCGAGCGGGGGTGCTCAATTCATGACCTTCCCTCTCGTACCTAAGTTCCCGAGCCGAGACAACTTTGGTGATGACGGATACGTGGCCTTTAGCACGAGTCATGGGTTTCCTAAATTTTTCCACAAATAAAATATTTAGGTGGCGACTCTATATTTGGCAAAGCAGTCTAATTTTGGTATTTTTGATTCAAAATCAAGTTTCCGAACAATTTGTCAGATTTGGACTCTTTGGTGATTCTCAGTTTCACATTGCACTTGTGAGATTAGATTCAGAACCGCAGGAGTCCGAACTATAGGGCATTCTTTCAAACCTTCCGAAAGGGGGCGCGAAAAAGCCGAGCTACAGTTTCTGGCGACTCTGCTGGAGATTTAGAGAACTTGACTCGAACTCATGATATGAAATTTTATCTACACTTATGTGTTTATTTTCATTTTCATTTTCATTGGTGTGCCTAAGTCATAGTGTTTGCCACCGTCTATTCCTGAACGGTTTGCCAAAGGCTCGCTCGAAAAAGCTTGCCAAAAGGCTGACCGGTTGCAGGTTTTGCCACGATGGGAACACAACCCTTGGATCGGGACTCCCGGTGTACCGTTTGATCCTCCTTTCACTTCTCGGTGTTGGGTGTGAGAGGTATATTAGATAGTCTTGCTGAGGTACCCTTTTTGACCAATCGATCTAGTTGCATATCGAAAACCATAGGGACTGTTCCAAACTAGGACATGATGCTTACCCAAATGTAGGATTGTGTGAAACCACTTGTTATGCATAGTGAACCCTAGTTCCTGACGAAACTAGGATAGGGTAACACTACCCCATCATAGGGGTGTTTTGGCTCTCAATTGACTGTTATGTGTTTTTAGAGTGAAACTCTACCGGAATGTATGTATCAGTTGCAAGTCTGGGTATCAGTTTTTGGGAGGCAAAATTTAGTATTGAGCATGGTTCCACGGCTTTGATTACATCAGTGCACTAATTAGAATCTGAGCAGAGATGCTGTGCGGTTTCTGATTTTTGTTTTTCTTTTGATTTATTTCTTTTTGCAAGGTAGTTTTTCACTATTGCTTTGGACGATCCTGTTACCGCCCAAGCACTCTGGACCAAGTGAGAAGGATTTGCAGATTCGGGGATCTTGTTAGGGGACAACCAGTGTTTGTTTTACTCCCACCGGTAACCAGATGGAGGAGGATCAGGCAGAATTCAACAATCCTGTAGTTACCGTTTACTTCGCTTGCGCCTAGTCAGGCCCAGTCTTCTACTTCTACTTCAGAAAGAGAGCATTCGCCAGTTCTGATAACTCAACGTCCCCCAGTCAGCATGGAAGATATGCTTCGTCAGCTCCAGTAGACCATTAAGACTATGTAGCTAGATGCTGTTCGGCAAGCCAAGGTCACAGCCCGCCAAGCTAAGGTCGCAGCCCACCAAGCAGAATTGATAGATAGGCTTCAACAACAACAACTACAACCGGCAGTAGCCTTTGCATCCCATGCACCCCTAATGGGAATTTCGGGTCCTGGAGTCATAGTCAATGTCCAAGAGAATATGGCATTTCGGCAGATCGGATCCCATCTCAGACCTCCAAGGCACCAGTTTACCAAATGGAGGCACGATTTGAATTTGAGGTTGACCCCAATGCATTAAAAGTCAACAAGCTAGAAAAGCTCTTCAAGCGGGGGTAGGGCGTGAATTCAATCCCTGTCATTGACGATGGATACACAGCTTCCGTGGTAACTCTACCGGACAGATTTAAGATGCTACATATAGACCAGTTTGATGGCTCCGAGGATTCTATGGTCCATCTACGGTTATTCTCTGACATCCTACGACCAATGGGTCTCACCAGACTTCAAAAGTTGTTACTTTTTTGTCGGATCCTGTCGGGTATAGCGGCCATCTAGTACGCAAAGCTGAAAGACTTCGTGAAACGGAACTGGGAGGAAATAGCCGAGGCTTTCATCGCGCAGTACTCCTACAATTCCCAGATTAAGGTCACGACCCGTGATCTAGAAGCAACCCGTCAGGAGCCGAAGGAGGGCTTCTCGGACTTTGTGACCTGGTGGAGGGCCAAGGCCTCTATGATGACTATCCAGCCGTTTGAAAAGGACCAAATCAGAATGGTGGTCCGTTACTTGCAAGGGAGATTATTAAGAAGATGATAGTCTTGCCTTTGTTTACATTTGCTGGGCTCCATGAGATAGGGGTTCAAATTGAGGATGCGATGAAGCAGGGGCTGATAGACCATGAGAAGGAACAACCCAAAAGGCCTTTTACATGCAGCTCCAATGCAAACATGAGCGGTAGCACTTCTGCATGGCCTTAGGATGTGAGTATGGTCACCACCACACCCAAAACTACCAATCCATTTGCCAACACCTCCAGCACAACTCCACAAACCTCAACCAGTCAGGCCTAATCTTAAAGGGTCTTTACCCCGCTCCAAATGCCTTTATCCAAAGCCCTAGGGGTCCTGATAAAAAAGGGGCATCTTAAACCACTAGAGCCTCATCTTCTACCCGATCCTCTTCTCCCGAGACACAACCCGGCCAAGTATTGCACTTTTCACTAGTGGCATGGTCATGACACTGATCAATGCTATAGATTGCGTCATGTGATTCAAGATCCCATTGACAATAAGGTGATAACGTGTAGACACCCCATTTTTGACCGACCTTAAGACTCAGACGTCACCGATTGAGCGCTTGGTGATGTTGCATATCGTGCTCGTTCAGAAGTTTCAGAGTTGCGGCCGTGAGCCCTACCTCCGGACTTCCGAACCCTCTTTTGTACCTTGCCTCGGTTTGCGAACCAGGCTCGTTTTTCTCGGTTTCTTTTCCTGAGGGAAGGGAAAGGTCCCGTAGACCATCTCTCAATGTCCATGGGCTACATTTGGTGGCCGTAGGCCATTTTGCCCATTTCGGAGTCCGGTTTCCGGTTTTTCGGAATCGTTGGCCGTGTGCCTTGGTTGGGGACCGCCTAACCATCTCCGTTTGCCCCGGTTTTTGGCATACCTCCTATTTTCTCCCTTTTGAGGGACACTGGGGCCTGAGAAACCCACTTCGTGGCCGAATGCCACTTTCGGTGCTTAACAGCCCATTTTCGGGACCCCGAACTGCGTGTCTTGGTCCCCGAGCATTCGTTTTGCAATGGTTTCCGTTCATTTTTGACAGGTACCTCTGTTTTATAACCGGGGAGGTCACTGAAGGGTGGGAAGCCAGTAATTGTTGCAGCAACCAGTTATACATCCTCCGACGCCCTCCGGCGCCCGTTTTTCACACTTCCGGGCTAATGTTGAACACCTTGGGGCCATCTTCTTGAACTTTGAACCACATATTTGTGATGTACACACTTGGGAGGACCCTAAAAAATGGTGGTCGGCCAGTAATTCCACCTGACCCTTTTGAACCCCTCCTTCCGGGCTAATGTTGAACACCTTGAGGCCATCTTCTTGAACTTTGAACCACATATTTGTAATGTACACACTTGGGAGGACCCTAAAAAATGGTGGCCGGCCAGTAATTCCACCTGACCCTTTTGAACCCCTCCTTCCGGGCTAATGTTGAACACCTTGGATCCACTTTCTTGAACTCCAAACCACATATTTGTGATGTACACACATGGGAGGACACCATCATGTGGTGGCCGGCCACTAAATCTTCTTGACCCTTTTGACCCCTAGCCAGCCGGCTAGGGGGTGTGGCCGGCCGAGATCCCCACACTGTTCACTTTACAGCTGTATAGCTTTATCCCCCAGAAAATATCAATATCCGGGGGATATTTTGTGGGGGAAAGTTTGTCTCCTTTTTGTGCAGCTGTTTCCCCCAGAAAATATCCCAATCCGAGGGATATTTTGTGGGGGAAAGCTTACCTCCTTTTTGCCCCACCTTTACACCCTCCTTTTGGTCCTTATAACCAGCTGCCATTGTTTGTTATAGGGGTTAGAAAATTTGTTCTTCAAGCCTCAAGATCCATATCTCCCTCCATCCTTCTCATTTCCCTAAAAAACCTTAAGTCCTACACCGTGTTTTCTTCATCACCACCAAGCTCTACCATCACCACTTCATTTCCAGCAACAAGGAGGGCTTCTTAAAGGCTAAAGGAGCTGCAAATTGGTCCAAGAAGCAACAAAAGCTTTAGTCTTCAAGGGTGAGTGACATTTCTCCTCTTTTGACCCTTTTTCTTGATCCATTTATAAGCCCTATAAGCTTTTTGTTTCAAGCTCCGGCCCTAATTGAAAGTGGCCCTCTTTTGAGCTCATTTTCACTTTTCATTAAGGACTCAACCCTGTTTGAGCCCTCCATGATGCACTTGCTTCATTAATCCTCTTATATGTCATAATCTTGCATGCTATTTTTGGCCCATGAGTCAGTATTTTGCTGAACAAATATAAATAGATCCTCTGGAAGATGTGATACAAATGTTGATGAATAAGGAAATCTTTTAGCCAAATCTGCTAGTGTAATAGATACCTTAGTTCCAACTTTATATGTAATTTTTTCATGAAAATGAAGGCCTGGCAGAATGTTTGCATCCCCCTGCATTGCTTTTCTTTCAACCTCCATGTGAACCTGATATAAACCCCAGAGCAACCACAATAATTTTAATGAAGCAAGAAAATGTAAACATGGAACAGATAAGAGTGCTTTTAACCAAGAAGCAGCACATGAGGAAGATGAGGAGGAAAATTTTTTGATTTAATAAGATGTAATTTAACCAATTTAAGGAATATGTAGGTTATCGGTCATCAACCATTTCAATCATCTAATCTATGCTCAAAGGAGAAAAACAACAAATAGGAAAATCCAGTCACATCAAAAGCCTTCAATAGAAAAATACCCACTCTCTTATTGTAGCTAACAACCCGTCATTCCATTGCTCACCATCTAAACAAATTTCTGCAAAATAAACAACTTTTTGTTAAAGAAGCAATATATCACACTTAATCATATGCAATGGGTGCTCAAAAAAATCAAAATTAAAAATCAAAGAAAGAGTGAGAGTTTGCAAGAGCTACACTAGTTAAACGGTAATGCAACAACTAGACTGCCAAATCTGTTTATGCATCCGCGTGAAGTGTCCTCTAAATACCATACTTTAAAAACCAGTATAGCTCATGCACTACAGGCATCAAGCACACTCCAAAAAAAGGTGACCACAGCTATGCATAAGACAGAAAATCTGACAGACAGGAAGCTGTTTCTTATTAACACAAGCATTCAACATTATAGTAAAGCAGTACTAAAAAAATAAGTTTAAATCAAAAAGTAAAACCTGAAGCACTTGAGCAGCATATCTCTGAGCTGCTGCATCTTGCTCAGCAAATCTGTGAGCATCTTCTGTTACCCTTTGTTCTTGCTCTACCCTCATCAAAACCTATCAGATAAGTCATAATCAATATATTATTAGAAATCTTTATCACATAAGAGAGAACAAGAACCAATTTTTTACATATTTAATTGTCAAACATAAAGCAATGCAAAACCTGAAGCATGACATTTTCTTGTTCTTGCTTATCAGCAAGGGCATGTCGAAGCTTAGCAACCTCTCTCTTCAATTGTTCAACCTGAAGCTCATAAGCAAATAGTTAATATGAAAAATATTTTATTTAACATTTTAAACTAGGTAGAAGAATAAATAAGAACTCAACCACTAAACAAGCATCTTGCTTACAAAAATTTTAATAACTACATCAAACAATTTTAGCAGATTTCGAGTAGAAAAAGGTGAAAAACTTAGTAGGAATTCCCCACCTCTCTCTCTTTCCTCTTCGATTCAAAAACCACAAAATATGATCAGGAAAAAGAAATCAAAATACACCACAAAGAAGGTGAGGAATTTTGGCTGAATTCAATGAGTTATGGGAAAATAATTAAACAAATTAAGAAAACTCACAATGGAATGGAAATGCAGGGCCAGGC